CTTCTCTATTTTTGGGAGTGGAGAAATGATTTATATCACAAATTGAAGGTGAAATAGTCTAGATTGTGAAATCATATAAAAATAATTAGGTTTTATTATAAAGATTTACTGGAAAAAGTTCTTAAATGAAGTTGCGTTTTGTTGTTAAAATGAGCAATAAATGGTAATTTTAAAAAATTGCTCCTTCTTTATCTTTGGGTGTTGAGAAATGATTTATATCACAAATTGAAGGTAAAACAGTCTAGGTTATGATGTCATATAGAAATAATGAGGTTTTATTATAAAAATTTCCTGGAAAAAATTTTTAAATAAAATTGTGCTTTGTTGTTTAAATGATCAAAAAATGAATATTTTGAAAAATCACTACTTCTTTATTTTTGGGAGTTGAGGAATGATTTATATCACAAATTGAAGGTAAAATAATCTAGATTTTGATGTCATATAAAAATAATGAGGTTTTATTATAAAAATTTCCTGGAATTTTTTTTTAAATGAAATTGCGTTTTGTTGTTAAAATGAGAAACTTGGAAATTTTAAAAAATCGTTCCTTCTTAATTTTTGGAAGTTGAGAAATGATTTATATCACAAATTGAAGCTGAAATATCCTAGATTTTGATTTCATATAAAAATAATGAAATCGCACCTTTTTATATACAGGGTGTCCCACGTAACTGGTTCGTTAGAACTTTTTTCAGTTCCAGTATTTGTACAGTTTTGAAATTTTGGTAGTATGGGTTGTTCAGGCGGAACTTTCGATCTAAAATATTTTCAAGATGGCTGCCACTTCCGGTGCACCGGAAGTAGGCCATAACTTCGTTATTTCAAATGGAATGCTATAGTTTTTATTGCACCTTTTAATTGTACGTAAAAAAATATGTTGACTTTTATAAAAGTTATTGGTACCTAGCGTTTTTCGTTTTCGAGTTATTTAATTTTAAGGTTTTTTGGCAAATTTCACCATGCTCTTTAAAACCCTATGTCCCAGCCAACGTTCATTCAAAAAAGCTCTAAATTGGCACGATTACTCTTCGGATGCTTTCAAATAGGTTGTCATATATTGTATCAGAGTATCTTATACAGAGTGGTCAAAATTGAATTACCGTTTCTCCATATTCAATGGGGAGAAAGTCGAAAATTTTAAATGGAACGCCCCATATTTTATTAGACAACACGAAAGGGAATTTAATTCTCTACAATTTATCTATAAAGATTCCTATATCTATTTATTGTAGTTTCTCTCGTATTCGTAAATTTATCAAAACAGGCAGGAAATGCAGGATACTGATTGTATTTTTATTAGAAGGCCATGACATTTTGACAGTTTTTGTTTAATTTATTTCTATTATTATTTGTACTATTAACTACGATTGATAATCTTTTAGTTTACTAGCTTTTACTTACCAAAAATAGCAAACAGAAGATCAAAAAAATGAAACTATTAAAACAAAAAGTTAATGACAAAAATTAGATTTGAATAAGAATATAAATTTGTTATTAAATTGAGTTTGGAAATGCAATAAGATACAATAAAATATTTATTTCGTTGTCTTCATCACTTATGACCGGAAATATGCGATGTCTTTTGATCTCGATATATCCAGAATGACTTACACCCATCATCAAATGTAGCTGATGACTCAAATGACAATAATAATACAAACATGGACCAAAAACTATCAAAATTCAATAGCTTTCTAATAAAAAAACCTGCATTTCGTGCACGTTTTAATAAATTTCGCAATATGAGGGAAACTACAATAAATAAGTAATAAATAGATATTAATAAATAAGGAATGTTTATAGATAATTTGTAGAGAATTAAATTCTGTTTCTGATAGGCTAAAAAATTTTATGCGGCGTTCCGACAACATCTGAAAAGTAATCGTGCCAACGTAAATCTTTTTTGAATTAAACTGCGTTTTGTTGTTTAAATGATGAAAGAATGGAAATTTAAAAAAATCGCTCCTTCTTTATTTTTGGGAGTTGAGAAATGATTTATATCACAAATTAATAAAAATTTCCTGCAAAAAATTCTTAAATGAAATTGCGTTTTGTTGCTAAAATGAGCAAAAAATGGAAATTTTGAAAAATCGCTCCTTCTTTATCTTTGGGAGTTGATAAATGATTTATATCACAAATTGTAGGTCAAATAGTCTAGATTGTGATATAATATAAAAATAATGAGGTTTTATTATAAAAATTACCTGGAAAAAATTCTTAAATGAACTTGTGTTTTGTTGTGAAAATAATCAAAAATTGGAAATTTAAAAAAATCGCTCCTTCTTTATTTTTGGGAGTTGAGAAATGATTTATATCACAAATTGAAGGTGAAATAGCCTAGAATATGATATCATATAGAAATAATGAGGTTTTATTATAAAAATTTCCTAGAAAAGGTTATTAAATGAAGTTGCATTTTGTTGTTAAAATTATAAAAAAATTGGAAATTTAAGAAAATCGCTCCTTCTTTATTTTTTGGAATTGAGAAATGATTTATATCACAAATTGAAGGTAAAACAGTCTAGATTATGATGTCATATAAAAATAATGAGGTTTTATTATAAAAATTTCCTGCAAAAAATTCTTAAATGAAATTGCGTTTTGTTGCTAAAATGAGCAAAAAATGGAAATTTTGAAAAATCGCTCCTTCTTTATTTTTTGGAGTTGAGAAATGATTTATATCACAAATTGAAGGTAAAACAGTCTAGATTATGATGTCATATAAAAATAATGAGGTTTTATTATAAAAATTTCCTGCAAAAAATTCTTAAATGAAATTGCGTTTTGTTGCTAAAATGAGCAAAAAATGGAAATTTTGAAAAATCGCTCCTTCTTTATTTTTTGGAGTTGAGAAATGATTTATATCACAAATTGAAGGTAAAACAGTCTAGATTATGATGTCATATAAAAATAATGAGGTTTTATTATAAAAATTTCCTGCAAAAAATTCTTAAATGAAATTGCGTTTTGTTGCTAAAATGAGCAAAAAATGGAAATTTTGAAAAATCGCTCCTTCTTTATTTTTTGGAGTTGAGAAATGATTTATATCACAAATTGAAGGTAAAACAGTCTAGATTATGATGTCATATAAAAATAATGAGGTTTTATTATAAAAATTTCCTGCAAAAAATTCTTAAATGAAATTGCGTTTTGTTGCTAAAATGAGCAAAAAATGGAAATTTTGAAAAATCGCTCCTTCTTTATTTTTTGGAGTTGAGAAATGATTTATATCACAAATTGAAGGTAAAACAGTCTAGATTATGATGTCATATAAAAATAATGAGGTTTTATTATAAAAATTTCCTGCAAAAAATTCTTAAATGAAATTGCGTTTTGTTGCTAAAATGAGCAAAAAATGGAAATTTTGAAAAATCGCTCCTTCTTTATTTTTTGGAGTTGAGAAATGATTTATATCACAAATTGAAGGTAAAACAGTCTAGATTATGATGTCATATAAAAATAATGAGGTTTTATTATAAAAATTTCCTGCAAAAAATTCTTAAATGAAATTGCGTTTTGTTGCTAAAATGAGCAAAAAATGGAAATTTTGAAAAATCGCTCCTTCTTTATTTTTTGGAGTTGAGAAATGATTTATATCACAAATTGAAGGTAAAACAGTCTAGATTATGATGTCATATAAAAATAATGAGGTTTTATTATAAAAATTTCCTGCAAAAAATTCTTAAATGAAATTGCGTTTTGTTGCTAAAATGAGCAAAAAATGGAAATTTTGAAAAATCGCTCCTTCTTTATTTTTTGGAGTTGAGAAATGATTTATATCACAAATTGAAGGTAAAACAGTCTAGATTATGATGTCATATAAAAATAATGAGGTTTTATTATAAAAATTTCCTGCAAAAAATTCTTAAATGAAATTGCGTTTTGTTGCTAAAATGAGCAAAAAATGGAAATTTTGAAAAATCGCTCCTTCTTTATTTTTTGGAGTTGAGAAATGATTTATATCACAAATTGAAGGTAAAACAGTCTAGATTATGATGTCATATAAAAATAATGAGGTTTTATTATAAAAATTTCCTGCAAAAAATTCTTAAATGAAATTGCGTTTTGTTGCTAAAATGAGCAAAAAATGGAAATTTTGAAAAATCGCTCCTTCTTTATTTTTTGGAGTTGAGAAATGATTTATATCACAAATTGAAGGTAAAACAGTCTAGATTATGATGTCATATAAAAATAATGAGGTTTTATTATAAAAATTTCCTGCAAAAAATTCTTAAATGAAATTGCGTTTTGTTGCTAAAATGAGCAAAAAATGGAAATTTTGAAAAATCGCTCCTTCTTTATTTTTGGGAGTTGAGAAATGATTTATATCACAAATTAAAGGTGAAATAGCCTAGAATATGATATCACACAAAAATAATGAGGTTTTATCATAAAAATTTCCTGGAAAAAGTTCTTAAATGGAGTTAGGGCTTGTTGTTTAAATGATCAAAGAATGGGAATTTTAGAAAATCGCTCCTTCTATATTTTTGGGAGTTGAGAAATGATTTATATCACAAATTGAACATGAAATATTCTAGATTATGATATCATATTAAAATAATTAGGTTTTATTATAAAAATTTCCTGGAAAAAGTTATTAAATGAAGTTGCGTTTTATTGTTAAAATTATAAAAAATTGGAAATTTAAGAAAATCGCTCCCTCTTTATTTTTGGGAGTTAAGAAATGATTTATATCACAAATTGAAGGTGAAATAGCCTAGACTGCGATATCATATAGAAATAATAAGGTTTTATTATAAAGATTTCCTGGAAAAAAATTTTAAATGAAATTGTGTTTTGTTAAAATGATCAAAATTTGGAAATTTAAAAGAACTCGTTATTTCTTTATTTTTTGGAGTTGAGAAATGATTTATATCACAAATTGAAGGTGTAATAGTCTAGATTGTGATGTCATATAAAAATAATGAGGTTTTATTATAAAAATTCCCTGAAAAAAATTTTTTTATTAAATTGTGTTTTGTTAAAATAATCAAAAATTGGAAATTTAAAAAACTGTTTGTTTTTTTATTTTTGAGAGTTGAGAAATGATTTATATCACAAATTGAAGGTGAAATATCCTAGATTATGATATCATATAAAAATAGTTATGTTTTATTACACAAATTTTAATTTGTTAAAAATTAAACAAAACTTTCGTATTCATCAATTTGAACTAATTCGATTTCAAAATCGATCCAACCACGTACTTAAAATAATTTGTGATTACAGTTCCATCACTATTTTTAACTTCAATCGGCTTGACAACTTTTTCGGTACTTTTAACAATTTCATTTTCGACATGTTTTCGTTGCGCTTCGTACATCTGTTTAATCATTTTCCCAGAAAATTTCAAATCATACAATTTTTTTACAATATTCATTATTTCCGGTGCTTTCACGACACTCCTCACACTACTATCGTAAACTTGTACCTTCCTCAATTCTTCCATCAACACTTCTTTTTCCATTTCATATCGTGTTATTAATTCTTCGTAGTTTTGAATTACATCTCGTTTCGATAGATCACCAAGTTTTTTTTCTCTATAATTTATATTTATTTATATTATTAGATAAGTCTTATAAACGAGTAGAGAAAAAAAACGCGCGTACATTATTGTGTTTCCCCGTTATTTTCTAAAGCTCAGCTCGATTTTCCATTTTTTGCCCACTTTGCTTAATTTGGTTAATAAAAAAAATTTTTTTCTCTTAACCCGTTGCGATTTAAGAAATGAAACTTTTTGAGGTTATAGAGGAAGGTTTGAGGTTGGATCACACCAAATTATAATCTTCCAGGGTGTATATTTTACTTAATATAACATTTCAAAATTTCCTATTTTATTTGACGTTTGCGAAAAGTGAGGTTAAAGAAAAAAATTGTTTTCTCCTAAACGGTTAAGATTGAAGAAATGAAACTTCTTGAGGTTATAAAGGAAGGTTTGAGGTTGGCTCACACCAAATTATAAGCTTCCAAGGTGATTACTTTACTTAATATAACATTTCAAAATTTCCTATTTTATTTGACGTTTGTGGAAAGTGAGGTTAAAGAAAAAAATTTTTTCTCCTAAACGGTTAAGATTGAAGAATTGAGACTTTTTGAGGTTAATATAACATTTTAAAATTTCCTATTTTATTTGACGTTTGTGGAAAGTGAGGTTAAAGAAAAAAAATTTTTCTTCTAAACGGTTAAGATTGAAGAAATGAAACTTTTTGAGGTTATAAAGGAAGGTTTGAGGTTGGATCACACCAAATTACAATCTTCCAGGGTGTTTATTTTACTTAATATAACATTTCAAAATTTCCTATTTTATTTAACGTTTGCGAAAGGTGAGGTTCAAGAAAAAAATTGTTTTCTCCTAAACGGTTAAGATTGAAGAAATGAAACTTTTTGAGACTATAAACGAAGGTTTGAGGTTGGCTCACACCAAATTATAATCTTTCAGGGTGATTACTTTACTTAATATAACATTTCAAAATTTCCTATTTTATTTGACCTTTGCGAAAAGTGAGGTTAAAGAAAAAAATTTTTTCTCCTAAACGGTTAAGATTGAAGAATTGAAACTTTTTGAGGTTATAAAGGAAGGTTTGAGGTTGGCTCACACCAAATTATAACCTTCCAGGGTGATTACTTTACTTAATATAACATTTTAAAATTTCCTATTTTATTTGACGTTTGTGGAAAGTGAGGTTAAAGAAAAAAATTTTTTCTCCTAAACGGTTAAGATTGAAGAAATGAAACTTTTTGAGGTTATAAAGGAAGGTTTGAGGTTGGCTCACACCAAATTATAAGCTTCCAAGGCGATTACTTTACTTAATATAATATTTTAAAATTTCCTATTTTATCTGACGTTTGCGAAAAGTGAGGTTAAAGAAAAAATTTTTTTCTCTGAACTGGTTAAGATTGAAGAAATGAAATTTTTTGAGGTTATAAAGGAAGGTTTGAGGTTGGCTCACACCAAATTATAAGCTTCCAAGGTAATTACTTTACTTAATATAACATTTTAAAATTTCCTATTTTATTTGACGTTTGCTTTGAGGTTGGATCACACCAAATTATAACCTTCCAGGGTGATTACTTTACTTAATATAACATTTTAAAATTTCCTATTTTATTTGACGTTTGCGAAAAGTGAGGTTAAAGAAAAAATTTTTTTTCTCCTAAACGGTTAAGATTGAAGAATTGAAACTTTTTGAGATTATAAAGCATGGTTTGAGGTTGGATCACACCAAATTATAAGCATCCAAGGTGATTACTTTATTTAATATAACATTTTAAAATTTCCTATTTTATTTGACGTTTGCGAAAAGTGAGGTTAAAGAAAAAAATTGTTTTCTCCTAAACGGTTAAGATTGAAGAATTGAAACTTTTTGAGATTATAAAGGAAGGTTTGAGGTTGGCTCACACCAAATTATAACCTTCCAGGGTGATTACTTTACTTAATATAACATTTTAAAATTTCCTATTTTATTTGACGTTTGTGGAAAGTGAGGTTAAAGAAAAAAATTGTTTTCTCCTAAACGGTTAAGATTGAAGAATTGAAACTTTTTGAGATTATAAAGGAAGGTTTGAGGTAGGCTCACACCAAATTATAAGCTTCCAAGGTGATTACTTTACTTAATATAACATTTTAAAAATTTCCTATTTTATTTGACGTTTGCGAAAAGTGAGGTTAAAGAAAAAAATTGTTTTCTCGTAAACTGTTAAGATTGAAGAAATGAAACTTTTTGAGATTATAAAGGAAGGTTTGAGGTTGGATCACACCAAATTATAAGCTTCCAAGGCGATTACTTTACTTAATATAATATTTTAAAATTTCCTATTTTATTTGACGTTTGTGGAAAGTGAGGTTAAAGAAAAAAAATTTTTCTCCTAAACGGTTAAGATTGAAGAATTGAAACTTTTTGAGATTATAAAGGAAGGTTTGAGCTTGGATCACACCAAATTACAATCTTCCAAAGTGTTTATTTTACTTAATATAACATTTTAAAATTTCCTATTTTATTTGACGTTTGCGAAAAGTGAGGTTAAAGAAAAAAATTGTTTTCTCCTAAACGGTTAAGATTGAAGAAATGAAACTTTTTGAGGTTATAAAGGAAGGTTTGAGGTTGGCTCACACCAAATTATAACCTTCCAAAGTGATTACTTTACTTAATATAACATTTTAAAAATTTCTTATTTTATTTAACGTTTGTAGAAAGTGAGGTTAAAGAAAAAAAATTTTTCTCCGAAATGGTTAAGATTGAAGAATTGAGACTTTTTGTGATTATAAAGTAAGCTTTGAGGTTGGCTCACACCAAATTATAAGCTTCCAAGGTGATTACTTTACTTAATATAACATTTTAAAAATTTCTTATTTTATTTGACGTTTGTGGATAGTGAAGTTAAAGAAAAAAATTTTTTCTCCGAAATGGTTAAGATTGAAGAAATGAAACTTTTTGAGATTATAAAGGAAGGTTTGAGGTTGGCTCACACCAAATTATAAGCTTCCAGGGTGATTACTTTACTTAATATAACATTTTAAAAATTTCTTATTTTATTTGACGTTTGTGGAAAGTGAGGTTAAAGAAAAAAATTGTTTTCTCCTAAACGGTTAAGATTGAAGAAATGAAACATTTTGAGGTTATAAAGGAAGATTTGAGCTTGGATCACCCCAAATTACAATCTTCCAGGGTGTTTATTTTACTAAATATAACATTTCAAATTTTCTATTTTATTTGACGTTTGCGAAAAGTGAGGTTAAAGAAAAAAATTTTTTCTCCGAAATGGTTAAGATTGAAGAAATGAAACTTTTTGAGGTTATAAAGGAAGGTTTGAGGTTGGATCACACCAAATTATAAACTTCCAAGGCTTTTACTTTAATTAATATAATTTTTTTAAATTTCCTATTTTATCTGACGTTTGTGGACAGTGAGGTTAAAGAAAAAATTTTTTTCTCCTAAACGGATAAGATTGAAGAAATGAAACTTTTTGAGGTTATAAAGGAAGATTTGAGGTTGGCTCACACCAAATTATAACCTTCCAGGGTGATTACTTTACTTAATATAACATTTTAAAATTTCCTATTTTATTTGACGTTTGTGGAAAGTAAGGTTAAAGAAAAAAATTTTTCTCCTAAACGGTTAAGATTGAAGAAATGAAACTTTTTGAGGTTATAAAGGAAGATTTGAGGTTCGATCACAGCAAATTATAACCTTCCAGAGTGATTACTTTAATTAATATAACATTTTAAAATTTCCTATTTTATTTGACGTTTGCGAAAAGTGACGTTAAAAAAAAAATTTTTTTCTCCTAAACGGTTAAGATTGAAGAATTGAAACTTTTTGAGATTATAAAGGAAGGTTTGAGGTTGGCTCACACCAAATTATAACCTTCCAGGGTGATTACTTTACTTAATATAACATTTTAAAAATTTCCTATTTTATTTGACGTTTGTGGAAAGTGAGGTTAAAAAAAAAATTTTTTTCTCCGAAACGGTTAAGATTGAAGAATTGAAACTTTTTGAGGTTATAAAGGAAGGTTTGAGGTTGGCTCACACCAAATTATAACCTTCCAGGGTGATTACTTTACTTAATATAACATTTTAAAAATTTCTTATTTTATTTGACGTTTGTGGAAAGTGAGGTTAAAGAAAAAAATTTTTTCTCCTAAACGGTTAAGATTGAAGAATTGAAACTTTTTGAGATTATAAAGGAAGGTTTGAGGTTGGCTCACACCAAATTATAAGCTTCCAAGGTGATTACTTTACTTAATATAATATTTTAAAATTTCCTATTTTATCTGACGTTTGTGGAAAGTGAGGTTAAAGACAAAAATTGTTTTCTCCTAAACGATTAAGATTGAAGAATTGAAACTTTTTGAGATTATACAGGAAGGTTTGAGGTTGGCTCACACCAAATTATAACCTTCCAGTGTGATTAGTTTACTTAATATAACATTTTAAAAATTTGTTATTTTATTTGACGTTTGTGGAAATTGGCTCACACCAAATTATAAGCTTCCAAGGTGATTACTTTACTTAATATTTTAAAAATTTGTTATTTTATTTGACGTTTGTGGAAAGTGAGGTTAAAGAAAAAAGTTGTTTTCTCCTAAACGGTTAAGATTGAAGAAATGAAACTTTTTGAGGTTATGAAGGAAGGTTTGAGGTTGGCTCACACCAAATTATAACCTTCCAGGGTGATTAGTTTACTTATTATAACATTTTTAAATTTCTTATTTTATTTGACGTTTGCGAAAAGTGAGGTTAAAGAAAAAAAATTTTTCTCCTAAACGGTTAAGATTGAAGAATTGAAACTTTTTGAGATTATAAAGGAAGATTTGAGGTTCGATCACACCAAATTATAACCTTCCAGGGTGATTAGTTTACTTAATATAACATTTTAAACATTTCTTATTTTATTTGACGTTTGTGGAAAGTGAGGTTAAAGAAAAAAATTTTTTCTCCGAAATGGTTACGATTGAAGAATTGAAACTCTTTGAGATTATAAAGGAAGATAAATCTTATAAATTATACTTACTTTTCGATTAAGTAGTGCAAATACTCTTTATAAGCATCGTTGTAGGGGATTATAACGCTGTTGCTTAAAAAATGGGCGAATTTAGCCACGGCTNAAAAAATTTTTCTCCTAAACGGTTAAGATTGAAGAAATGAAACATTTTGAGATTATAAAGGAAGGTTTGAGGTTGGCTCACACCAAATTATAAGCTTCCAAGGTGATTGCTTTACTTAATATATCATTTTAAAAATTTCTTATTTTATTTGACGTTTGTGGAAAGTGAGGTTAAAAAAAAAATTTTTTTTCCAAAACGGTTAAGATTGAAGAATTGAAACTTTTTGTGATTATAAAGGAAGGTTTGAGGTTGGCTCACACCAAATTATAAGCTTCCAGAGTGATTACTTTACTTAATATATCATTTTAAAGATTTCTTATTTTATTTAACGTTTGTTGAAAGTGAGGTTAAAGAAAAAAATTGTTTTCTCCTAAACGGTTAAGATTGAAGAATTGAAACTTTTTGAGATTATACAGGAAGGTTTGAGGTTGGCTCACAGCAAATTATAAACTTCCAAGGTGATTACTTTACTTAATATAACATTTTAAAATTTCCTATTTTATTTGACGTTTGTGGAAAGTGAGGTTAAAGAAAAAATATTTTTCTCCAAAACGGTTAAGATTGAAGAAATGAAACTTTTTGAGGTTATAAAGGAAGATTTGAGGTTAAATCACACCAAATTGTAACGTTCCAGGGTGATTACTTTACTTAATATAACATTTTAAAAATTTCTTATTTTATCTGAAGTTTGTGAAAAGTGAGGTTAAAGAAAAAAAATTTTTCTCCTAAACGGTTAAGATTGAAGAATTGAAACTTTTTGAGATTATAAAGGAAGCTTTGAGGTTGGTTCACGCCAAATTATAAGTTTCCAAGGTGATTACTTTACTTAATATAACATTTTAAAATTTCCTGTTTTATTTGACGTTTGCGAAAAGTGAGGTTAAGGAAAAAAATTGTTTTCTCCTAAACTGTTAAGATTGAAGAAATGAAACTTTTTGAGGTTATAAAGGAAGGTTTGAGGTTGGCTCACACCAAATTATAACCTTCATTGTGATTACTTTACTTAATATAACATTTTAAAAATTTCTTATTTTATTTGACGTTTGTGGAAAGTGAGGTTAAAGAAAAAATTTTTTTCTCCTAAACGGTTAAGATTGAAGAATTGAGACTTTTTGAGATTATAAAGGAAGGTTTGAGCTTGGATTACACCAAATTACAATCTTTCAGGGTGATTACTTTACTTAATATAACATTTCAAAATTCCCTATTTTATTTGACGTTTGCGAAAAGTGAGGTTAAAGAAAAAAATTGTTTTCTCCTAAACGGTTAAGATTGAAGAAATGAAACTTTTTGAGGTTATAAAGGAAGGTTTGAGGTTGGCTCACACCAAATTATAAGCTTCCAAGGTGATTACTTTACTTAATATAATATTTTAAAATTTCCTATTTTATCTGACGTTTGTGGAAAGTGAGGTTAAAGACAAAAATTGTTTTCTCCTAAACGATTAAGATTGAAGAATTGAAACTTTTTGAGATTATACAGGAAGGTTTGAGGTTGGCTCACACCAAATTATAACCTTCCAGTGTGATTAGTTTACTTAATATAACATTTTAAAAATTTGTTATTTTATTTGACGTTTGTGGAAAGTGAGGTTAAAGAAAAAAGTTGTTTTCTCCTAAACGGTTAAGATTGAAGAAATGAAACTTTTTGAGGTTATGAAGGAAGGTTTGAGGTTGGCTCACACCAAATTATAACCTTCCAGGGTGATTAGTTTACTTATTATAACATTTTTAAATTTCTTATTTTATTTGACGTTTGCGAAAAGTGAGGTTAAAGAAAAAAAATTTTTCTCCTAAACGGTTAAGATTGAAGAATTGAAACTTTTTGAGATTATAAAGGAAGATTTGAGGTTCGATCACACCAAATTATAACCTTCCAGGGTGATTAGTTTACTTAATATAACATTTTAAACATTTCTTATTTTATTTGACGTTTGTGGAAAGTGAGGTTAAAGAAAAAAATTTTTTCTCCGAAATGGTTACGATTGAAGAATTGAAACTCTTTGAGATTATAAAGGAAGATAAATCTTATAAATTATACTTACTTTTCGATTAAGTAGTGCAAATACTCTTTATAAGCATCATTGTAGGGGATTATAACGCTGTTGCTTAAAAAATGGGCGAATTTAGCCACGGCTTTTTGAATGATATCTTTTTCTGCCTCAAATTCTTCTTTTTCGACTTGGTATCGTTTCAATTCTTTTTGGATTAGATCTCTCTCGGCTTCTTTCGTTGTTAACTTCGTTTGTATTTGTAAATCTTTGATTTTCTCCTCGTAGGGTTCTGTTAAATAATAAACGTGCATATGTTCGAGGTAATTATGCCCACATTTCTTCCACTTACAAACCCATTTGTTGTCTTTATACACCATTATTGCGCAATCTTGCAAACGCGGATCTCCGGTAACGTTTTTCGGCACCCCTTCCAGATAACATTCATCGTGGCAAATTTGTTTGTAATGATAAGAAGTGACGTCGCTTATTATGTGAGCTTCCGTGCATTTTGCGTTCGTGCAAACGGTTATTGGGGAAGGGCATTCTTTAAGTTTCAAATTTATTCTTGGAACGAATAAGAATGGTTTTAAATCGTCGATGCTTTTCGTTGTGTCGTTTAGATTTGTTTCTAAACGATTAATTCGGCTCAAATTGTTTTCGATTAAAACCGCAATCTCACCCAACGGTTTTCTTAGCCTCTCGATGGATCTTCGCGCTTCCATAACAGAAATCGTATTTTGTATCTTATGAGGAGTTAATTTTGAAACGTATTTTAAAAATCGCTTTGTTGCCATTACGGAATTATCCCAGCTATTAGCGAATGATTGTTTAATATGATCTGCGAAATCCAACCCCTCCCTCTTTGCTAATAAATAACGAAAAGCTTCGTTATCCAAACAAAATGTGTTTTCTTGTTTGAACGGTATCTCCATGTTCGGGGGGGTTTCTTTAATTTCTTTTAAAAGTTCTTGTAAAGGTTCGACGGTATCTCCAGGGTTATAAAAAGTGGCTCTTGCATTCGCAAATAAAAACACGATATTATCAATAGCACTCCTTTCTAACGAAGATAATAACTGCTTAATACAATATTCGAAAAGAACGGTTAATCTTGAATCGTTCGGTTTTAACATGATAACAATCGCGTTAATCTCGGTGAATTCCCCTAAATACACTAGTAAATTCTCGAAATTTTCTTCATCTTTAGTAACACCTCGCGTGTCTCCAACACCTGGGGTGTCAATTAATCGAATGATTAAGTCGTCAGTTTCGAATGAATAAGAGCGGCAATTTTGAGTGGATGATTGCCCGCTTTTAAACGACTCGTTTTTGTCGCTGCCAAATTCGATCTTTCTCGACTTAAACGATGCGTCCGTTATTGTAAATCTAAAAGTTAAAATTAATTAAAATTGAAACGATTTGGTGATGATTTTACCTCGATGGAATTAATGCATGGATTTTCTTGGAATTCATTGCGTGATCGAGCGTTGGGAAATTGATGTAATTAGAAAATGCGTTAATAAAGGTCGATTTTCCGACCCCCGTTTCGCCAAGAATCAAAATGTTGCACTCTCGTTTCGCCATTTTTCGCTAAATAATACTAATAATGTTTTTGATTTGGTATTTATACGATTTTTTTAATAAAAATAAAAGGATGTTGTGGTTAAAAATATTTTCCTTGGCGATAATAAAGAAAAAATATTTTTTTTATAAGCGACAAATAAACCTTGACTCATTTTTAATTTATGTTTGAAATTTTTTAATAAAAATTTTATACAGATTTTATTTTCTTGTAGAAAATTAAAAATCCTTTAAAATGAGTCCAAACTCGATGGGGTTATCTTTAAAAACAAGCGAGATATGTTGATTTAAAAAACACTTTGACAGCCGATTCTCGTTTGTTTCTGATTTAATTTTCTTCTATAACTTTCTTATTTTTTAAGATAACCCCATTGTGTTTGGACTCATTTTAAAGGATTTTTAATTTCCTACAACTTGGTAACCATGGCAACCCAAAACAATCAATTTTTGCGTTCATTTCCGGTTTGTATATCGAGTAATGTTTGAGATAACCCCGTCGTGTTTGGGCTCATTTTAAAGAATTTTCTATTGTGATTGCAAAAATATTAATTAAAATTTGTTATTTTCGATTTCATCCTACACCAATACTTCCCGATCGATTTTTTTGCGTAAAATATTAACATTTTTGGAAAGAGGACGAAAAATGCGTTAAAATGACTCCAAACTCGATGTGGTTATCTTAAAAAACAACCGAGATATCTCAATTTAAAGAATATTTTGACAGCCGATTTTCATTTGTTTTTAATTCATTTTTAGTTTGTAACTTTTTAATTTGTTGAGATAACCCCATCGTGTTTATACTCATTTTAAATGATTTTTAATTTCCTACAACGTGGTAACCATGGCAACCCGAAACAATCAATTTTTGCGTTCATATCCGGTTTGTACAACGAGTAATTTTTGAGATAACCCCGTCGTGTTTGGGCTCATTTTAAAGGATTTTTGATTGTGATTGCAAAAATATTAATTAAAATTTGTTATTTTCGGTTTTAACCTACACCAATATTTCCCGATCGTTTTTTTTTTGCGTNTCCGGTTTGTACAACGAGTAATTTTTGAGATAACCCCGTCGTGTTTGGGCTCATTTTAAAGGATTTTTGATTGTGATTGCAAAAATATTAATTAAAATTTGTTATTTTCGGTTTTAACCTACACCAATATTTCCCGATCGTTTTTTTTTTGCGTAAAATATTAATATTTTTGGAAAGAGGACGAAAAATGCTTTAAAATGAGCCCAAACACGATGGGGTTATCTTTAAAAATGGTGAAGATGTCAATTCAAGATGGTGGACAAAGTGACAATTTCGCATCTTCTTTATTTTTTAAGACAACTGAAATTAAATGCTTTAAAATGAGTCCAAACTCGATATGGTTATCTTTAAAAACAACGAAGATATGTTGATTTAAAAAATATTTTGACAGCCGATTTTCATTTGTTTTTAATTCAATTTTAGGTTGTAACTTTTTTATTTTGTGAGATAACCCCATCGTGTTTATACTCATTTTAAAGGATTTTTAATTTTCTACAACGCGGTAACCATGGCAACCCGAAACAATCAATTTTTGCGTCACTTCCGGTTTGTATATCGAGTAATTTTTGAGATAACCCCGTCGTGTTTGGGCTCATTTTAAAGGATTTTCTATTGTGATTGAAAAAATATTAATTAAAATTTGTTAGTTTCGATTTTAACCTACACCAACATTTCCCGATCGATTTCTTTTACGTAAAATATTAATATATTTGGAAAGAGGACGAGAAAAGCTTTAAAATGAGCCCAAACACGACGGAGTTATCTTTAGAAATGGCGAAGATGTCAATTCAAGATGGCGGAAAAAGTGACAATTTCGCATCTTCTTTATTTTTTAAGATAACTGAAATTAAATGCTTCAAAATGAGTCCAAACTCGACGGAGTTATCTTTAAAAACAACTAAGATATGTTGATTTAAAAAATATTTTGACAGCCGATTTTCATTTGTTGTTAATTCATTTTTAGTTTGTAACTTTGCTATTTTTTGAGATAACCCCATCATGTTTATACTCATTTTAAAGGATTTTTAATTTCCTACAACGCGGTAACCATGGCAACCTGAAACAATCAATTTTGCATTCATTTCCGGTTTGTATATCGAATAATTTTAGAGATAACCCCGTCGTGTTTGGGCTCATTTTAAAGAATTTTTTATTGTGATTGCAAAAATATTAATCAAAATTTGTTATTTTCGATTTTAACCTACACCAATATTTCCCAATCGATCTTTTTGCGTAAAATACTAATATTTTCGGAAAGAGGATGAAAAATGCTTTAAAATGAGCCCAAACACGATGGGGTTATCTTTAAAAATGGCGAAGATGTTAATTCAAGATGGCGGAAAAAGTGACAATTTCACATCTTCTTTATTTTTTTAAGATAACTGAAATTAAATGCTTTAATATGAGTCCAAACTCGATATGGTTATCTTTAAAAACAACGAAGATATGTTGATTTAAAAAATATTTTGACAGCTGATTTTCATTTGTTTTTAATTCAATTTTAGGTTGTAACTTTTTTATTTTTTGAGATAACCCCATCGTGTTTATACTCATTTTAAAGGATTTTTAATTTCCTACAACGCTGTAACCATGGCAACCCGAAACAATCAATTTTGCGTTCATTTCCGGTTTGTATATCGAGTAATTTTTGAGACAACCCCGTCGTGTTTGGGCTCATTTTAACGAGTTTTTTATTGTGATTGCAAAAATATTAATTAAACTTTGTTAGTTTCGATTTTAACCTACACCAACATTTCCCGATCGATTTTTTTGCGTAAAATATTAATATATTTGGAAAGAGGACGATAAGGGCTTTAAAATGAGCCCAAACACGACGGAGTTATCTTTAAAAATGGCGAAGATGTCAATTCAAGATGGCGGAAAAAGTGACAATTTCGCATCTTCTTTATTTTTTAAGATAACTGAAATTAAATGCTTTAAAATGAGTCCAAACTCGACGGAGTTATCTTTAAAAACAACTAAGATATGTTGATTTAAAAAATATTTTGACAGCCGATTTTCATTTGTTGTTAATTCATTTTTAGTTTGTAACTTTGCTATTTTTTGAGATAACCCCATCATGTTTATACTCATTTTAAAGGATTTTTAATTTCCTACAACGCTGTAACCATGGCAACCCGAAACAATCAATTTTGCGTTCATTTCCGGTTTGTATATCGAGTAATTTTTGAGACAACCCCGTCGTGTTTGGGCTCATTTTAACGAGTTTTTTATTGTGATTGCATAAATATTAATTAAAATTTGTTATTTTCGATTTTAGCCTACACCAGTATTTCCCGATCGATTTTTTTGCGTAAAATATTAATATTTTTAGAAAGTAGACGAGAAGAGCTTTAAAATGAGGCCAAACACGACGGGGTTATCTTTAAAAATGGCGAAGATGTTAATTCAAGATGGCGGAAAAAGTGACAATGTCGCATATTCTTTATTTTTTAAGATAACTGAAATTAAATGCTTTAAAATGAGTCCAAACTCGATGGGGTTATCTTTAAAAACAACGAAGATATGTTGATTTAAAAAATATTTTGACAGCCGATTTTCATTTGTTTTTTATTCAATTTTAGGTTGTAACTTTTTTATTTTTTGAGATAACCCCATCGTGTTTATACTCATTTTAAAGCTACAACATGGTAACCATGGCAACCCGAAACAATCAATTTTTGCGTTCATTTCCGGTTTGTGTATCGAGTAATTTTTGAGATAACCCCGTCGTGTTTGGGCTCATTTTAAAGGATTTTTCATGCAGATTAAGATTATTTAGATTAAAATCATCATAATCATAAAACATAGCCACCATTTTGAAAAATAGGGTTTAAAAAATTTTAATTAAAATTTATAAAAATATAATTATCGCAAGCAAAACAAAATTTCCTTTAAAATAAGTCCAAACACGATAGTGAAATTTTTAAAGATGGCCGAGATATGATAATTTTATTTTAAAACACCGCCATCTTGAAATAGTTTCTTTTAAAGGCAACCCTATAGTGTTTGTACTTATTTTAAAGGATTTTTTATGCAGATTAAGATTATTTAAGTTAAAATTATCATACTCATAAAACATCGCCGCCATTTTGAAAGATTCAGTTTCACAATTTCTTTTTAAACATTACAAAAATATTAATTTTTTAAACAAAAAGATTTCTTTAAAATGAGTCTAAACTCGATGGTAATATTTTTATAAATGGCCGAGATATGATAATTTTATTTTGAAACCGCCATCTTGAAATAATTCTTTTTAATCGCAACCTCATCGTGTTTGGGCTCATTTTAAAGGATTTTCCATACAGATGAAGATTGTTTAGGTTAAAATCAGCATAATCATGAAACGTAGACGCCATTTTGAAAAATAAGGTTCAAAAAATTTTAATAAAAATTTACAAAAATATTATTATCGCAAAGAACACAAAATTTCCTTTAAAATAAGTCCAAACACGATGGTGATATTTTCAAAAATGGCCGAGATATGATAATTTTATTTTGAAACCGCCATCTTGAAATAATTCTTTTTAATCGCAACCCCATCGTGTTTGGGCTCATTTTAAAGGATTTTTCATCCAGATTAAGATGGTTTAGGATAAAATCATCATAATCATAAAACATAGCCGTCATTTTGGAAAATAAAGTTGAAAATATTTTAATAAGAATTTACTAAAATGTTATTATCACACACAAAACAAAATTTCCTTTCAAATAAGTCCAAACATAATGGAGATATTTTAGAAAATGGCTGGAATTTCGTAATTTATTTTAATAAAATTTGTTAACAGATGGCGCTGTATTAAAAAAAAATATTTTATGGTTTTATCAAAAAATTTTTCGTATAATATTTGTTTAAAATGCAATTTGAAGTTGATTATTTTAATAAAAATTTTCGATATCTCCACCAGGTGGGGCTATACACTGGTATAAAACCATACTGATCACCGGGAAATAAAAAATCGATAATTTAAAAAAAATGTTTTAACAAAAATTGTGTCCGATTTAATTCTGAACAAGTTTTATTCGAAACTTTTTTTATTATAAACGATATTTAACGAGATAACCTAAAAAAACTGTTTTTTATACCATTATACAGCCCCACCTGGTGGTTAAATCAAAAATTTTTATTTAAATAATCGATTTTAAATCACATTTTAAACAAATATTATACGAAACAATTTTTGATAAAACCCCAAAATGTTTTCACCGATACACAGCGCCATCTATTGAGAAATATTATTTGGTGCCAAATTAAAAATCGTTTAAATTTTCACCGAATTCGTTACCTTTCTTAATAATGAATACGCATAGACATGAATAAAATTTGTTAATAGATGGCGCTGTATTAAAAAAAAATCTATTTTATGGTTTTATCAAAAAATTTTTCGTATAATATTTGTTTAAAATGCAATTTAAAGTTGATTATTTTAATAAAAATTTTTGATATCTCCACCAGGGGGGGCTATACACTGGTATAAAAATGATACTTTTGAGGTTATCTTAACAATTAGTGATTGCATCAAATATTTTTATTAACAATATTTGCTTAGAATTAAATAACAACCAATTTTTATTAACAAAATTTTTCAAAATTAACGTTGCTTTAATTTCCCTGTGAATAGTATGGTCCTTCTCTCAGCAGATCATTGAGATTCGGTAGGTTATGTCAAAGTATATTATATTATTATTATATTATATAAAATTGTTAATTTAATTCATTTATTTTTATTGATACATATTTTCAATTATTAATTAACACCTTTTTTTGGAACGCTTGGTGGTGGTGTTGTATTAGATTTCTTCTTGTCATCGCTTGATTTAAACCATGAACCGGCTAAATATTTAAACGCGTTACCAAGAAATGATCCATCGGCTCTCTTAACCGGAATCGGTTTCACAACTTTTTCAGATCTCTTCACCACTTCGTGTTCAATGTGCTTTTGTTGGGCGTCGTACATCTCTTTGATTATTTTCCCGGAAAATTTCAAACCGTACAACTCCTTAACGATATTCATTATTTCCGGTGCGGTTACAACACTCTTAACGTCCTTCTTGACAGCTTGAATTTTTTTTAATTCTTCCATTAAGAGTTGCTTTTCTGATTCGTAGCGCATTATTAATTGTTCGTAGTTTTGGATTACTTTTGGTTTAGCTAGATCTCCAAGTTTTTTTTCTCTGTAACAAAAAGAAATTATTACATTCGTGAATTAAGAAGGTGGAATTTAACTTTTTAATTAAAGGAAATTGTTTCATATCGAGCAATGTGTAAAAAATCATAAAAAATCGGAAAATTAAGATATCTCGACGAAATCTTACTCAATTATCAAGTAAAGTGTGTACTTTAACATGAACTTGATCGCACTTGAAAATCTCTTTTCGTTCTTGAGATAATAATGATTGAACTTAACCCGAAATAAATAACTTTATAAAATTATTTCCATTTTTNATTAAGATATCTCGACGAAATCTTACTCAATTATCAAGTAAAGTGTGTACTTTAACATGAACTTGATCGCACTTGAAAATCTCTTTTCGTTCTTAAGATAATAATGATTGAACTTAACCCGGAATAAGTAACTTTATAAAATTATTTCCATCTTTTTAAAAAATCGTAAAAAATCGAACTCTTAAGATATTTCGATGAAACCAGCCTAATTTATAAAGTAAAGTGTGTGCTTTAAGATCAACTTGACTACACTTTAAAATCTCTTTTCGTTCTTGAGATAATAATGATTGAACTCAACCCGAAATAAGTAACTTTACAAAATTATTTCCATCTTTTTAAAAAATCGTAAAAAATCGAATTCTTAAGATATTTCGATGAAACTAGTCTAATTTATAAAGTAAAGTGTGTGCTTTAAGATGAACTTGACTATACTTTAAAATCTCTTTTCGTTCTTGAGATAATAATGATTGAACTCAACCCGAAATAAATAACTTTATAAAATTGTTTCCATCTTTTTAAAAAATCGTAAAAAATCGAATTTTTAAGATATTTCGATGAAACCAGTCTAATTTATATAGTAAAGTGTGTGCTTTAAGATGAACTTGACTATACTTTAAAATCTCTTTTCGTTCTTGAGATAATAATGATTGAACTCAACCCCAAATAAGTAACTTTACAAAATTATTTCCATCTTTTTAAAAAATCGTAAAAAATCGGATTCTTAAGATATTTCGATGAAACCAGTCTAATTTATAAAGTAAAGTGTGTGCTTTAAGATGAACTTGACTATACTTTAAAATCTCTTTTCGTTCTTGAGATAATAATGATTGAACTCAACCCGAAATAAGTAACTTTATAAAATTATTTCCATCTTTTTAAAAAATCGTAAAAAATCGAATTCTTAAGATATTTCGATGAAACCACTCTAATTTATAAAGTAAAGTGTGTGCTTTAAGATGAACTTGACTATACTTTAAAATCTCTTTTCGTTCTTGAGATAATAATGATTGAAAGTACCGAATCTCCATGATCTGCTGAGACCAGAAACGTACTGTTCACAGGGAAATTAAAGCAACGCTTATTTTGAAAAATTTTGTTAATAAAAGTTGCTTGTTATTTAATTCTAAACAAATATTATTAATAAAAATATTTGATGCGATCAATAATTATTAAGATAACCTCAAAAGTATCGTTTTTATACCAGTGTATAGCGCCACCTGGTGGAGATATCAAAATTTTTTATTAAAATAATCAACTTAAAATTGTATATTAAACAAATATTATACGAAAAAATTTTTGATAAAACCATAAAATAGTTTTTTTTTTTTAATACAGCGCCATCTATTAACAAATTTTATTCATGTCTATGCGTATTCGTTATTAAGAAAGGTAACGAATTCGGTGAAAATTTAAACGATTTTTAATTTGGCACCAAATAATATTTCTCACTAGATNCTTGACTATACTTTAAAATCTCTTTTCGTTCTTGAGATAATAATGATTGAAAGTACCGAATCTCCATGATCTGCTGAGACCAGAAACGTACTGTTCACAGGGCAATTAAAGCAACGCTTATTTTGAAAAATTTTGTTAATTGTTGGTTGTTATTTAATTCTAAACAAATATTGTTAATAAAAATATTTGATGCGATCAATAATTATTAAGATAACCTCAAAAGTACCGTTTTTATACCAGTGTATAGCGCCACCTGGTAGAGATATCAAAAATTTTTATTAAAATAATCAACTTAAAATTGTATATTAAACAAATATTATACGAAAAAATTTTTGATAAAATCATAAAATAGTTTTTTTTGAATACAGCGCCATCTATTAACAAATTTTTTTCATGTCTATGCGTATTCATTATTAAGAAAAGTAACGAATTTGGTGAAAATTTAAACGATTTTTAATTTGGCACCAAATAATATTTCTCAATAGATGGCGCTGTGTATCGGTGAAAACATTTTGGGATTTTATCAAAAATTGTTTCGTATAATATTTGTTTAAAATGTGATTTAAAATCGATTATTTAAATAAAATTTTTTGATTTATCCATCAGCTGGGGCTGTATATTGGTATAAAAAAACAGTTTTTTTAGGTTATCTCGTTAAATATCGTTTATAATAAAAAAAGTTTCGGATAAAACTTGTTCAGAATTAAATTAGACACAATTTTCGTTAAAACATTTTTTTTAAATTATCGATTTTTAATTTCCCTGTGATCAGTATGGTTTTATTCCAGTGTACATATAGCCCCCCTGGTGGAGATATCAAAAATTTTTATTAAAATAATCTACTTTAAATTGCAATTTAAAGAAATATTATACGAAAAATTTTTCGATAAAACCGCAAAATAGTTTTTTTTTAATACAGCGCCATCTATTAAGAATTTTTTTTCATGTCTATGCGTATTCGTTATTAAGAAAGGTAACGAATTCGGTGAAAATTTAAACGATTTTTAATTTGGCACCAAATAATATTTCTCACTAGATGGCGCTGTGTATCGGTGAAAACATTTTGGGGTTTTATCAAAAATTGTTTCGTATAATATTTGTTTAAAATGTGATTTAAAATCGATTATTTAAATAAAATTTTTTGATTTATCCACCAGGTGGGGCTGTATACTGCTATAAAAAAACAGTTTTTTTAGGTTATCTCGTTAAATATCGTTTATAATAAAAAAAGTTTCGAATAAAACTTGTTCAGAATTAAATTAGACACAATTTTCGTTAAAACATTTTTTTTAAATTATCGATTTTTTATTTCCCTGTGAACAGTATGGTTTTATATCAGTGTATAGCCCCACCTGGTGGAGATATCAAAATTTTTTATTAAAATAATCAACTTTAAATTGCATTTTAAACAAATATTATATGAAAAAAATTTTGATAAAATCATAAAATAGTTTTTTTTTAATACAGCGCCATCTATTAATAAATTTTTTTCATGTCTATGCGTATTCACTGTTAAGAAAGGTAACGAATTTGGTGAAAATTTACACGATTTTTAATTTGACACCAAATAATATTTCTCACTAGATGGCGCTGTGTATTGGTGAAAACATTTTGGGGTTTTATCAAAAATTGTTTCGGATAATATTTGTTTAAAATGTGATTTAAAATCGATTATTTAAATAAAATTTTTTGATTTATCCACCAGGTGGGGCTGTATACTGCTATAAAGAAACAGTTTTTTTAGGTTATCTCGTTAAATATCGTTTATAATAAAAAAAGTTTCGGATAAAACTTGTTCAGAATTAAATTAGACACAATTTTCGTTAAAACATTTTTTTTAAATTATAAGGCTTTTAGGCTTTAGGTTTTTTAGGCTATAATAAAAAAAGTTTCGAATAAAACTTGTTCAGAATTAAATCAGACACAATTTTCGTTAAAACTTTTTTTTTAAATTATCGATTTTTTATTTCCCTGTGAACAGTATGGTTTTATACCAGTGTATAGTCCCACCTGGTGGAGATATCAAAAATTTTTATTAAAATAATCAACTTTAAATTGCATTTTAAACAAATATTATACGAAAAAATTTTTGATAAAATCATAAAATAGTTTTTTTTGAATACAGCGCCATCTATTAATAAATTTTTTTCATGTCTATGCGTATTCATTATTAAGAAAAGTAACGAATTCGGTGAAAATTTAAACGATTTTTAATTTGACACCAAATAATATTTCTCAATAGATGGCGCTGTGTATTGGTGAAAACATTTTGGGGTTTTATCAAAAATTGTTTCGGATAATATTTGTTTAAAATGTGATTTAAAATCGATTATTTAAATAAAATTTTTTGATTTAACCACCAGGTGGGGCTGTATACTGCTATAAAAAAACAATTTTTTTAGGTTATCTCGTTAAATATCGTTTATAATAAAAAAAGTTTCGAATAAAACTTGTTTAGAATTAAATTAGACACAATTTTCGTTAAAACATTTTTTTTAAATTATCGATTTTTTATTTCCCCGTGAACAGTATGGTTTTATACCAGTGTATAGCCCCACCTGGTGGAGATATAAAAAATTTTCATTAAAATAATCAACTTTAAATTGCATTTTAAACAAATATTATATGAAAAAAATTTTGATAAAGTCATAAAATAGTTTTTTTTAATACAGCGCCATCTATTAATAAATTTTTTTCATGCCTATGCGTACTCATTGTTAAGAAAGGTAACGAATTCGGTGAAAATTTAAACGATTTTTAATTTGGCACCAAATAATATTTTTCACTAGATGGCACTGTGTATCGGTGAAAACATTTTGGGGTTTTATCAAAAATTGTTTCGGATAATATTTGTTTAAAATGTGATTTAAAATCGATTATTTAAATAAAAATTTTTGATTTAACCACCAGGTGGGGCTGTATACTGCTATAAAAGAACAGTTTTTTTAGGTTATCTCGTTAAATATCGTTTATAATAAAAAAAGTTTTGAATAAAACTTGTTCAGAATTAAATCGGACACAATTTTCGTTAAAACATTTTTTTTAAATTATCGATTTTTAATTTCCCTGTGATCAGTATGGTTTTATACCAGTGTATAACCCCCCCTGGTGGAGATATCGAAAATTTTTATTAAAATAATCAACTTCAAATTGCATTTTAAACAAATATTATACGAAAAAATTTTTGATGAAACCATAAAATAGTTTTTTTTTTAATACAGCGCCATCTATTAACAAATTTTATTCATGTCTATGCGTATTCATTATTAAGAAAGGTAACGAATTCGGTGAAAATTTAAACGATTTTTAATTTGGCACCAAATAATATTTCTCACTAGATGGCGCTGTGTATCGGTGAAAACATTTTGGGGTTTTATCAAAAATTGTTTCGTATAATATTTGTTTAAAATGTGATTTAAAATCGATTATTTAAATAAAATTTTTTGATTTATCCACCAGGTGGGGCTGTATACTGCTATAAAAAAACAGTTTTTTTAGGTTATCTCGTTAAATATCGTTTATAATAAAAAAAGTTTCGAATAAAACTTGTTCAGAATTAAATTAGACACAATTTTCGTTAAAACATTTTTTTTAAATTATCGATTTTTTATTTCCCTGTGAACAGTATGGTTTTATATCAGTGTATAGCCCCACCTGGTGGAGATATCGAAAATTTTTATTAAAATAATCAACTTTAAATTGCAATTTAAACAAATATTATACGAAAAAATTTTTGATAAAACCATAAAATAGTTTTTTTTTTTTAATACAGCGCCATCTATTAACAAATTTTATTCATGTCTATGCGTGTTCGTTATTAAGAAAGGTAACGAATTCGGTGAAAATTTAAACGATTTTTAATTTGGCACCAAATAATATTTCTCACTAGATGGCGCTGTGTATCGGTGAAAACATTTTGGGGTTTTATCAAAAATTGTTTCGTATAATATTTGTTTAAAATGTGATTTAAAATCGATTATTTAAATAAAATTTTTTGATTTATCCACCAGGTGGGGCTGTATACTGCTATAAAGAAACAGTTTTTTTAGGTTATCTCGTTAAATATCGTTTATAATAAAAAAAGTTTCGAATAAAACTTGTTCAGAATTAAATTAGACACAATTTTCGTTAAAACATTTTTTTTAAATTATCGATTTTTTGTTTCCCACTTTATTTTATTTACTCACTTCTCGATTAAATAGCGCAAATACTCTTTGTAAGCATCATTGAATGGAAGTATGACGCTATTGCTCAAAAAATGGGCGAATTTAGCCACTGCCTTTTGAATGATGTCCTTTTCCTTTTCAAATTCCCCCCGTTCGCTTCGATAGCGTTCCAATTCCTTCTGAATAACGTCTTTCTCGCTTAATTTCGTTGTTATTTTTGTTTCGATTTCTACGTTTTTCATCGTTTCTTCGTAAGGTTCCGTTGTGTAATAAATGTGCATATGTTCGAGATACGTATGACCACATTTCGGCCAAACACACACCATTTTACCATTTCTCGAAGTCATCGCAGAGCAATTCTGCAAACCTACATCACCAACAATATTTCTTCTTATCCCTTCTAAATAACAGTGGTCGTGACACACTTGTTTGTAATGATAAGACGTTGTGTCGCTTATCGTGTGAGCTTCCGTGCAATTTTGGTTCGTGCACACCGTTCTGGGATAATCAAACTCGATGAGTTTCAATTTAATCCTCGGCACGTACAAAAATGGTTTTAAATCGTCGATACTTTTCGTTGTGTCGGTTAAATTTGCTTCTAAACGGCTGATTCGGCTCAAATTGTTTTCGATTAAAACCGAAATCTCACTCAGCGGTTTTCTTAAACGCTCAATCGAGCGACGAGCGTCCATCACGGAAATCGTATTTTGTATTTTATGTGGTTTTAAACCCACCACGTATTGTAATAAACGTTTTGAGGCGCTCACCGAGTTATCCCAGCTATCATAAAACGATCTTTTAATTCGATCCGAAAATTCGGCGTTTTGAAGTTTCGCCAATAAGAATCGAAACGCTTCGTTATCCAAGCAGAAAGTGTTTGTTTGGGTGAAAGGGATGTCCATGTTAGGAGGTGTTTCTTTAATTTCTTTTAAAACTTGTCTTAAAGGGCCAACCGTATCGCCGGGGTTATAAAACGTAGCTCTTGCGTTTGTAAATAAAAAGACGATGTTATCAATGGCGCTCCTTTCTAGCGAAGATAATAACTGCTTAATACAATATTCGAAAAGAACGGTTAATCTTGAATCGTTCGGTTTTAACATGATAACAATCGCGTTGATGTCGGTGAATTCCCCTAAATAGAGGAGTAAATTCTCGAAATTTTCTTGATCTTTAGTGACACCCCGCGTGTCTCCAATACCAGGGGTGTCAATTAATCTAATGATAACATCGTCGGTTTCAAACGAATAAGATCGACAAGTTTGGGTGGATGACTCCCCAAGATTGAACGACTCATTCTTGTCATTGCCAAATTCGATGATGTGGGTGTTAAAGTTCGCATCGGTTATTGTGAATCTAAAAAAAATTAATAAAATCGATTTTATTAACGAAAAAACTCACTTAAGGTGCAAATGATGCAATTTAAAGAATCGTATCTCAAGAACGAGTTGAGATATCGCGATGAAATATAAAGCATTTTAAAGCAAATTTAATCCTGATTCATCACTCCAAAAATTATTATTTCGAATCAATAAATCGCAATGATACGATTTTTTTAATACAACCATGTCGTTATTTTGATTAAGTTGTAAATGATGCAATTTAAAAAATCGTATCTTAAGAACGAGTTGAGATATCGCGATGAAATATAAAACATTTTAAAGCAAATTTAATCCTGATTCATCACACCAAAAATTATTATTTCGAATCAATAAATCGCAATGATACGATTTTTTTAATACAACTACGTCGTTATTGAGATTAAGTTGTAAATGATGCAATTTAAAAAATCGTATCTCAAGAACGAGTTGAGATATCGCGATGAAATATAAAGCATTTTAAAGCAAATTTAATCCTGATTCATCACACCAAAAATTATTATTTCGAATCAATAAATCGCAATGATACGATTTTTTTAATACAACTACGTCGTTATTGAGATTAAGTTGTAAATGATGCAATTTAAAAAATCGTATCTCAAGAACGAGTTGAGATATCGCGATGAAATATAAAGCATTTTAAAGCAAATTTAATCCTGATTCATCACACCAAAAATTATTATTTCGAATCAATAAATCGCAATGATACGATTTTTTTAATACAACTACGTCGTTATTGAGATTAAGTTGTAAATGATGCAATTTAAAAAATCGTATCTCAAGAACGAGTTGAGATATCGCGATGAAATATAAAGCATTTTAAAGCAAATTTAATCCTGATTCATCACACCAAAAATTATTATTTCGAATCAATAAATCGCAATGATACGATTTTTTTAATACAACTACGTCGTTATTGAGATTAAGTTGTAAATGATGCAATTTAAAAAATCGTATCTCAAGAACGAGTTGAGATATCGCGATGAAATATAAAGCATTTTAAAGCAAATTTAATCCTGATTCATCACACCAAAAATTATTATTTCGAATCAATAAATCGCAATGATACGATTTTTTTAATACAACTACGTCGTTATTGAGATTAAGTTGTAAATGATGCAATTTAAAAAATCGTATCTCAAGAACGAGTTGAGATATCGCTATGAAAAATAAAGCATTTTAAAGCAAATTTAATCCAGATTCATCACTCCAAAAATTATTGTTTCGATTCAATAAATCCCGAAGATACGATTTTTTTAATACAACCACGTTATTATTGAGATTAAGTTGTAAATGATTCAATTTAAAAAATCGTATCTCAAGAACGAGTTGAGATATCGCGATGAAATAAAAACCATTTTATCGGAAATTTAATCTAGTTTTAAGACGCCAAAGATTGTTTCTTCGTTCCAATAAATCGCGATGATACGATTTTTTAATTCAACTCATCATTATTAAGGTTAATTAAAAAATACTCACTTCGATGGGATCAAAGCGTGAATTGATTCGGCTTCGAGCGCATCATCAAGCGTCGGGAAATTGATGTAATTAGAAAATGCGTTAATAAACGTCGATTTTCCAACCCCCGTTTCGCCGAGAATCAAAATGTTGCACTCCTTTTTCGCCATTTTCAACAAATACAATTAAAAAACTGTCGTTAGTGAATCTTTACATCGTTATTTATACGATTTTCTTTGGAAATAACAGGAAGTATGGTTAAAAATATTTTTTAAATTATTTTGCAAGCAACTATCAACCGCAAATTCAATAATATCAAAGAGATAATGAAATGAATAGCACAATAATATACAGAGTGTTCGATTTGGCGTTTAAGCCGGTTCGAATGTTGGACGTGCATATTATGTATTCATGACGCGAACACGAGCTGCTCTCCCCCATACATCTTCATTCAGATCCCATATTCTAATGGACGCCCATGATAAATGGACGTCTGGAAATGTCCTTATACACCGAGTACAACTGGAATCCCGCAAAATTTAATGCAAAATGTAATTATTTCAAAAAATTACAAAAAAAATAAATTTCCTATAAGATGGTTTTTATTTCAAGTTGATATCTCAATTCGTTCTTGAGATACGACTATTTAAATTTCATTTCTTACGCGTTAATCTCAATAGCAACATGTTTGAATTAAAAAAATCGTATCATCGGGATTTATTGAATCGAAAGAATAATTTTGGTGTGATGAATCAGGATTAAATTTGCTTTAAAATGGTTGTTATTTCATCGCGATATCTCAATTCGTTCAGGAGATATCATTTTTTAAATTACATCATTTACGACTTAATCTCAATAATGATGGGGTTGCATTAAAAAAATCGTATCATCGGGATTTATTGAATCGAAATAATAATTTTTGGTGTGATGAATCAGGATTAAATTTGCTTTAAAATGCTTTTTATTTCATCGCGATATCTCAACTAATTCTTGAGATATGATTTTTTAAATTGCATCATTTACGACTTAATCTCAATAATGACGTAGTTGCATTAAAAAAATCGTATCATCGGGATTTATTGAATCGAAACAAAAATTTTTGTAGCGATGAATCTGGATTAAATTTGCTTTAAAATGCTTTTTATTTCATCGCGATATCTCAACTCGTTCTTGAGATACGATTTTTTAAATTGCATCATTTACAACAATCTCAATAACGACATGGTTGTATTAAAAAAATCGTATCATAGGGATTTATTGAATCGAAATAATAATTTTTGGGGTGATGAATTAGGATTAAATTTGCTTTAAAATGCTTTTTATTTAACGCGATATCTCAACTCGTTTTTGAGATACGATTCTTTAAATTGCATCATTTACAACTTAATCTCAATAATGACGTGGTTGCATTAAAAAAATCGTATCATCGGGATTTATTGAATCGAAATAATAATTTTTGGTGTGGTTAATCTAGATTAAATTTGTTTTAAAATGCTTTATATTTCATCGCGATATCTCAACTCTTTCTTGAGATACGATTTTTTAAGTTGCATTATTTACAACTTAATCTCAATAATGACGAAGTTGCATTAAAAAAATCGTATCATCGGGATTTATTGAATCGAAATAATAATTTTTGGAGCGATGAATCTGGATTAAATTTGCTTTAAAATGCTTCATATTTCATCGCGATATCTCAACTCGTTCTTGAGATACAATTTTTTAAATTGCATCATTTACAACTTAATCTCAATAATGACGTGGTTGCATTAAAAAAATCGTATCATCGGGATTTATTGAATCGAAATAATAATTTTTGGGGTGATGAATTAGGATTAAATTTGCTTTAAAATGCTTTTTATTTAACGCGATATCTCAACTCGTTTTTGAGATACGATTCTTTAAATTGCATCATTTACAACTTAATCTCAATAATGACGAGGTTGCATTAAAAAAATCGTATCATCGGGATGTATTGAATCGAAATAATAATTTTTGGAGTGATGAATCAGGATTAAATTTGCTTTAAAATGCTTTATATTTCATCGCGATATCTCAACTCGTTCTTAAGATACGATTTTTTAAATTGCATCATTTATAACTTAATCTCAATAATGACAAAGTTGCATTAAAAAAATCGTATCATCGGGATTTATTGAATCGAAAGAATAATTTTTGGAGCGATGAATCTGGATTAAATTTGCTTTAAAATGCTTTATATTTCATCGCGATATCTCAACTCGTTCTTGAGATATGTTTTTTTAAATTTCATCATTTACAACTTAATCAAAATAATGACATGGTTGTATTAAAAAAATCGTATCATCGGGATTTATTGAATCGAAAGAATAAAATTTGGTATGATGAATCAGGATTAAATTTGCTTTAAAATGCTTCATATTTCATCGCGATATCTCAACTCGTTTTTGAGATACGATTTTTTAAATTGCATCATTTACGACTTAATCTCAATAATGACGAAGTTGCATTAAAAAAAATCGTATCATCGGGATTTATTGAATCGAAATAATAATTTTTGGTATGATGAATCAGGATTAAATTTGCTTTAAAATGCTTGTTATTTCATCGCGATATCTCATCTCGTTCTTAAGATACGATTATTTAAATTTCATTTCTTACAAATTAACCTCAATAACATGTTTGACTTAAAAAAATCGTATCATCGCGATTTATTAAATCGAAATAATAATTTTTGGTGTGATGAATCAGGATTAAATTTGCTTTAAGATGCTTTATATTTCATCGCGATATCTGAACTCGTTCCTGAGATACGATTTTTTAAATTTCATCATTTACAACTTAATCTCAATAATGACGAAGTTGCATTAAAAAAATCGTATCATCGGGATTTATTGAATCGAAATAATAATTTTTGGTGTGATGAATCAGGATTAAATTTGCTTTAAAATGCTTTATATTTCATCGCGATATCTCAACTCGTTCTTAAGATACGATTATTTAAATTTCATTTCTTACAAATTAACCTCAATAACAACATGTTTGACTTAAAAAAATCATATCATCGCGATTTATTAAATCGAAATAATAATTTTTGGTGTGATGAATCAGGATTAAATTTGCTTTCAAATGCTGTATATTTCATCGCGATATCTCAACTCGGTCTTGAGATACGATTATTTAAATTTCATTTTTTACAAGTTAACCTCAATAACGACATGTTTGATTTAAAAAAACCGAATTCCTGTTTCGTAACGATTCGATGGCTGTAAAGTGGATAAAAAATTGATCATTTTTAAGGAACCCTTCGTTGGGGGTGCAATTACGCGCGTTACTCTCGGCCCGATGGACTAATTAACAATTTGCGGACGTTTTTCCACCCACCCCTTCGAGCCACCCCTTGCACCTTTTAAAGGAACAAGATGGTGAAACTTTAGGGGTTCGAAATCGGCGCCCTCATCATTTTCGCTACTAATTAGATGATCTTAAGAGGCGGAGATTATGATTGCGATGTTAAATCGCAAAGAAGAGGGAATAATTACAGATTACTTTTCGGTTTTTTATTTTCAAGCACGTAAATCCCGTAATAATACGATAATTGTTCGACAAACACAAACGTTAACACGGTTATCGGCATGATTCTTATGTAATAAGGCGCGAAGCCTTTCCAAAAAGCTAAAACACCTTCCTCTTTAACCACGTCTTTTAAAATCTTGATTCCAATAATCTTATTTTCCCCGATTTTGTTTTGAGCGCGAGTTTTTAAGAAATCAAACGGCATCGTAACGATCGCTGATAATAATCCGGATAACATCGATGCTGTTAATTGCAATTTTAATCCCTCTTCTAAATCGAAATAATAACGTAAAGTTTCTTTGATTTGGGAGTAAGTTCCTAAACCGATTCCGATTATTCCGGCTCTTAAAGTGGTTGGGATTGCGCCTCGATAAAGTCCTCGAATTCCTTTTTCTTCTCTATTTATTCGTATTAAGGCGTTAATGGGGTTTTTGTATTTGAATTGAAGATTTTTCGGTTTGCAACCGTCGTACATCATTCGAACCAAGCAAATATCGAGTGGTGTTGATAAAAATCCGGAGCAAATCCCGGCAAAAGTTCCGGTTAAAATTTTTATTAAAAATGACGGTTTCTCTTCGTTGAAAAATTCGAAAAGGTTCATGTAAATTCCGAATCGGATCGTTGTGTAAACACTTTGTTTTAATAAACAGGCGGTTCCTCCGTTGTAAAACCCAAAACAACCCTCGTTCCGATAAATCTCGTTGATTTTCTCAAAAGTCGTCGATTTATTTTGAGACATTTGCATTCGGGTTTTTAAAATATCTAAAGGGTGTACCAAAAAGGCGGCTGTAGTTCCTGCTAATCCGCCAACGAGGAATTTCGCTGCAATCGGAAACGGTTTTTCAACTTGATTATTTTGTTCCTTTGAATTTCGACTCATTTATTTATATTAGAAAGTGTTTGATGTAATGACGTTAAATTTGGAGGTTTTGAAATTAATTTGACTTTATTAATTTATTGTTATTGTTTTCAATTTTTCTGTTTACAACTAAAAACGCGAGTAAACCGGCCGTAAAACAAGCTTTGTTCGGGTTTGACGCGTTGTTGTTCGCATTTAGAGATATTGGAAAATTGGGAAATTGGGCCGCCGCCAATGGTTTCGGTTTTCCGTCCATTCGAGCCCCCGAAATACGCTCGGAAAAACAAATAACAGCGTAACCCCCGACATTACAACGTCAATCGACCCGTTTTTCTACCCCTCGCAGGGTAAATAGTATTTTTAACCATTCCTCCCTTGTGTGCGTTTCACGGTGTGAGCTTAAAATATTCAAAATCATCGATTTTTCTTTAAAAAAAATTAATTTTTAACATTCAAATTAAGTCACCCCATCTATCGGTATTTTCACAAACACTTTTTTTATTTAATTTATTTATTTTTATTTATTAAAAATTTTAAATTAATAATTAAACATTTTTTATTCACTTCATTTTTTATTTACAACATTATTTAATAACAATTTTTAATTTTTTATATTTTTATTAATTAATTACTTACCCCATCTAGCGGTAACCGCCTAAATTAAATTGTATTGTATTAATTCGTTGAAGCAAAAAATAGTTTATTTTATTAATTTTGAGCATTCACTAATCTCATTTTATAATTACAAAATTCGCATTTAAAAATAA